TTGAGTATTCGACAAAGATGGAACGTCGTTGTAAATTGTTGGCAATGAAACTCGTAAAGGAATACAATAATAATCGTATTTTTGCGAGTTTCACCAAATTTAATTACACATGTGTACAAATTTGTCAGAAAACAAAATCCTACTTCATTGGTCAAGATTTGGGATTTGTGTCTGTCGATGAGTCCACCGGCGAAATTATACAAAATATAATTCCATCGAACACACCACCCTATTCGCCGGGGGCCGTAAAAATAGCCTTTGGTCATGTAACAACTTGCACACACCTCGCAAAGATAAAGGCATACATCGGGAGATATCTTAGTAAGGGATGTCGCTTGCAATTTAATTACAGTCGGCGAAACACGTGAGTTTGACACCACACTTATAATATATTGTATGAATTACGCAGGTGGCACTAACATGTAATATGAGTCTGTACACAGATATGATCTAATCTAACAAATGGGTTATCTTGTTGGAGATAAGCAACGCCATGATAAGAAATGTGTGGGGACTATATTTTGTTGTATTTCCATTTGCCTAATTTATTATTACTTTTCATTGCTTTGGACGAAAAAAAACAATCCAAAGTTTAAATAACATATAGAGGCAATCTAGATAATTTGTATATAATTTATATTTAACTGGAACAAGATTTTTTTGTAGAGAAATGAACGATGAGAGTGTTCTATTTCGTACGCAGTGTGTCAACTCATGTTATTGGCAGTGAAGTGTAGCATTAATTCCGTGTTACTTTAACGTGACTACTGCTTACTTACTGACTACCCTGCCTGTAAATCACGTGACCAATATGGCGGAGTAGCAGAGGTCATCCACTGTGCCCTCTCAATAACCTATAGTATACGTTGCATACTATGCTGAGGCTAAAGGCAGGTGAAGCAAGACAACTATATTTCTTCATAATCATCATGCTGCGGTTACTTCTCTTGTCTTTTTTGATTCACGTATGCGATGTACAAGCCCAGTCGATACCACCACCGGGTGTTTCGTACTTAGGTTTAGGGTACAACATATTGGACGGCAACCCATGGGGTCGGAAGGAGATGAATGGAGGACTAGATCCAGGAATCCGAACGGAAAATAGAATTTTGGAGCTAACATTCGATGAGGGATATCTGTCCGACAATTTGCTTTATCTTAGACCGGACGAAGTAATGTATGATATCACAGATACGTGCAGTGTTGTTGTAACGAATTATACTTTCTGGGGAACCGCCTCATACCAAGAGGACCTCATTAATAACGTACAACGAATCAGTGAGTTAAACCTAGTAATATCACTTCCAAGTTCAAGAGTAGATTTATTCGAACGCACGTAACAACAAAAAACACAAGTCGGATTTATTATATAATATTATGTCAATTATTCTAAA